ATGGAGGGGTAAAAACTGAAATTTAGCCTTCCAAAGTAGGGGTGATAAGTTCACTGCCCTCAGGCTTTCTGTAATATGATCCTGAATTTATGTGAAAAGCTTCCTTTTATGTTTTTGTTCAAAGAAAAACTCGTTCAGTAATTACTTAAGCACTCGTTTGGAGGCATTCCCAGTTTTAAGGAGAAAAAGTTGACTTCAGATCTTTTGTGGATGCAGTTTAATTAAAAGAAAATCTGTCCAACAAGTCCATAATAGGATTTATTTTTCTCATTTTAAGTAGGCCTGATATGTTGGTAATAGAAGTCTTGTGTGTGAACAATTCACTATTGATGGTGCACTATTTATTGTTCATAATTGGAAACTTGTTTGTTCACTTTAAACAGCTCTCTTTTTTTCTTCTCACCCGCAGATTATTCTGGCTATCCTGGTGTCCTGGTTGCTGTGCTTCATCTTTACAGTGACAGACGTCTTTCCACCTGACAGCACAAAATATGGGTTCTATGCTCGCACGGATGCTAGACAAGGAGTGCTGTTGGTAGCACCCTGGTTTAAGATTCCTTATCCTTGTGAGTATGTTATAAATGTGTATGTGCTGGGAGAGAGAATTATGCTCATAAGCATCCTTTCGATGCTCCCTGCTAACATTACTGACATGTCACAGCATTGGGGTTTGATGTGTTTAGGCAGAAGAGCAGAGATGGGGTTTTAAACTAGTCTGTATAAAAAAACAGGAGTTTTAAATCTGGTTATGGCTTTCCCTAAGGAGACAGCACAAGCACAGAATCACATTCAGAGAGGTGCCGAGCCCTCTCCGCTCACTTTCCCTGCAGTGTTTCATGGGATATAACTAGACAACAAATGCTCTTTAATAACTAACATCTGTTTTTACATGTTCTCCCACAAAAGTAACCATTTACCAGCGGATGCAGCAAAACTACTGGGATTCCCAGGAAATAATGGGTTTAATTTTCCTTTACATGAACTTGCTGATATGCAGGTTGTTGTGCAGGAAGCTGTTACTTTCCTTTACTCCACTGCTAACAGTACTGTAAAATACAGGTGATGTGGTAGGTACACGTTCCTCTTGTTCAGCCACTGAAATCATTGTGGTCTGTGAGATCACATGGAAACATGTCTCTTGATTTTAAGCCATCTAATAGCATCACTAATACATACAGGTTTTGGTGGGTTCTTTTCCGAACTGAGTTCACTACTTATCCACTTTTGATAATTATGATGAAAACTTTCAAATTTAGGAGCCTAAAATTACATACTACAATAGAAGTGCCCTGGCTTTCAGAAGTGCTGAACTCCCATTGTTTTCTGTTGGAAGTCTGAACAAATTTCTGTTTGTGTCAAACTTTAGGCATAAACATTTGAAACTATTGGTTTGTGTCTGAACTCTGTGCCAGACTAATTTCCTGAGCCCTGCACAATGTCCATATGGACAATCACAAATTGGTAATTTTAACTGATTCAGGCCATATCTAGACTTGTGGGAAGATTGACGCCGCAGCGGTCAATCTTCTGGCATTTGATTTAGCGGATCTAATATATATTGGTTCAGTTTCAACATTTGCTCAGATATGTCAATTTTGAGGACTGTACTTGCTGTGGTGATTCGTTCTCTTTCCTGATTGTTTTAATGAGAAGCAATCCCATCAGTGTAGATGGGATTGAACTAAAGAACGTAGAGACGTTCACGTATTTGGGGAACAACATGACATATGATCTAGACCATAAGAAGGAAATAGCGACTAGAATAGCGAAAGCAAGAGTTTGAAGGTGATTGGTATTATCTGGAAAAGTAAAACGATTAGCTTAGGAATGAAGCTGAGCGTCTTGAAAACGTGTATTTAGCAGCATGTTGTATGGATGTGAGACATTGTATGGATATTGGCGTGTCGAGAGGAGTTGTTATAGAAAGATCCTGAGACTAAGATGGATGCAGAAGGTCACCAATGAGGAATTATATAGGAAGATACAACCTAAAGAGAACCTACTGCAGAAGGTTATATAAGGGAAGTTACAGCTATTCGGGCACATCTGCAGAATGAACGGTGAGCGAAAAGTTAAGACCCTGGTATTTGGCATAATGGATGGTCCAAATAGGAGAGGAAGACCCCACAGAGAATGGGTAGATGATATAGTAGATTGGTGCGGAGCTAGTCTACAGAAACCAAGCCACTTCGCACTGGACAGGAAAAGATGAAAGGAAATAATGAGGGAGGCATCAGACACCAACGGGCGTTGATCCCATGGTTGTTGATGAAGATGACAAATCCCATTCCAGGCACAACCCGTTTTCTTGGCACAAACAGCCCCGTATCTTGCTTTAAGTTGTGATAAGAAGAAGCTGCATACCAGATTTGTAGCTCTTAGCATTTAGGAGGAGTTCTTGATCATACACACAAACTTTCTAAAATATATAGTAGATTGTGAAGATTTGGAGAGATGGAGTGTTGACATTTGAATAAGCTCTGCTCTGGTAGTTTTTGACTTTTTTAGATTGTTAGCTCTTGAAAGCAGAGATCAAATATGCAAACAAATGCTAATTATGTGAGTAGCCCACACTGATCTGACATTCAAGCTGCAGCTCAAATCACTGAGATTTCTCATGAATATAAGCAGTTTCTTTTTAAACATGGCCAAGCCAATTAAAATTAAGAGTCTCTAAAAACTGTATTGGTTTCCATTTAAGTGAGTGTTTCTGGTCCTCGTATTTAGCTGAACTAGCTAGAGTTTTAATGAATGATCTTCATTGTCATGCAATCTTAATGGAGCCAGTGGTTTTTACATCTTAATAACTGAATTATTGTCTTCTACAGAACAAGAGAGATTTAAGTTTTCTTCTTTTCGCAGTTCAGTGGGGGTTGCCAACGATTTCAGCAGCTGGAGTAATAGGAATGCTTAGTGCAGTTGTTGCAAGCATTATAGAATCAATCGGAGATTATTATGCCTGTGCAAGGTTGTCTTGTGCTCCTCCTCCACCTATTCATGCAATAAATAGGTAAGTCACTTGGAAAAGAAGTAACTATAATATTTTGTGCTTCCATGACAGCTTTGTACTCTGGCTAAGGCAGATATGTGTTTTGGTATCACATTTTATAATATGATCAAGTCTAGAACCCAGTGATCTGATGTCTAAAAAATAACTATTTTGAATTGAGTTATTTTAATGAAAATATAATGATCAAAGCTCAATCCTGAACTAGTTGAACTCAGTGGAAGTTAGAATGATGGTTTCAATAGAAGAGCATTCACATGTATGTTAATATTGTCTTTATCACATTACCAGAATCATTAAACTGTTTGGGCTTTAAATTCATTATACGGAATCATAGGGTTGGAACAGACCTCAGGAGGTCATCAAGTCCAACCCCCTGCTTAAAAGCAGGACCAACCCCAACTAAATCATCCCAGCCAAGGCTTTGTCAAGCTGGGACTTAAAAACCTTTAGGAATGTATCATCTGCATTGATAGCCCATTCAGTGCTTTACCACCCTCCTGGTGAAATACTTTTTCCTAATATATAACCTAGATCTTCCACACTACAACTTGAGAACATTTCTCCTCGTTCTATGGTCTGTCACCACTGAGAACAACTTCTCTACAACTACTTTGAAGTCCCCCTTTAGGTAGTTAAAGGCTGCTATCTAATCTGCTCTCACTTTTCTGTAGACTAAACATGGCCAGATCCCTTAGCCTGTCCTCATAAGTCATGTGCTTCAGCCCCCTAATCATTTTCCTTGCCCGCTGCTGGACTTTCTCCAGTGCGTCCACATCCTTTCTGCAATGGGGCCCCAGAATTAGACACAGTACTCCAGATGGATGCAGTTATACCAGTGTTGAATAAAGAGGAATAATCACTTTGCTTGAACTGCTGGCAGTGCTCCTCCTAATACACCCTAATACAAGACTAGCCTTTTTGGCTACAAGGTCACACTGTTGACTCATATCTAGCTTCTCATCTTCTGTAATCCCCAGGTTCTTTTCTGCCAAACTGCTGCTTAGCCTGTCGGTCCCCAGCCTGTAACGATGCTTAGGATTCTTCCCTCCAAAGTGCAGGATTCTGTACTTGTCCTTGTTGAACCTCATCAGATTTCTTGTGGCCCAATCCTCCAATTTGTCTAGGTCACTCTGGACCCTATCTCTCTCCATCTAGCTTAGTGTCATCAGTGAACTTGCTGAGGGCACAATTCATTGCCTCATCCAAGTCATTAATAACAATGTTGAACAAAAGTGACCCCAGAACCAACCCTTAGGGAGTATCTTGTTAAAGGCAGCTGAAATTAAATTGTAAGAGTAGAGGGTAACTCTAGACTTTGATTTTGTACTTCATTGCATTGTCCTCCATTGCTTTATGAATGTAGATATCTGGAATAGAACCACAGAGTCATTAAACTGGATGTGACCTCAACATGGGGCCCTGAGATGCCAACAGTGGTTAATTAGATGTACCTAAGTATTGAAATGTTTGGTGGATCGGATCTTTGGATATTGTGCAACCATTTTGAAGTGAGAATATTTTAATCTAAAATGAAACACTTTTCTCTTCATGAATTACAGGGGGATTTTCATTGAGGGTCTTTCCTGTGTTTTGGATGGAGTATTTGGTACTGGAAATGGATCCACCTCTTCTAGCCCTAACATTGGAGTCTTAGGTATCACTAAGGTATGTACTCTACTCTGCTCAGCCGATAATCCGTTCCCTGAGTATTGCTCAGTCTGGTGGTACTCTGGCTCTCACCATTTATATTGTTTCGTGACAACGACCTTCTGTGAGGAAGTAATTCTCTCTTGTATGTTGTGCAAAAACAACTGCCCACAATGTTTTGAACTTCCTTAATCTGTTTACACTGGGCATTTTCCTGTCAAAGTGTCCATTAGGATTAGGTTAGGGTTAAAAACCCTTTCTTGATTTTTGGCAAAAGTTGTTAGAGAATCTATTTGAGTAGTATAATGTGAAATAAACATAGACTTCTTGTGAGTGAAGTTGATTTTAGTTTTGAAAAGGCTGCAAGTGAATAGAAATTAATGCTTTGATGTGTATCCTTGCTGTGTAATCAATAACAATGATACACAAAGTAATACAATACAAACCTTATGTATGACCTTATCTACACTGGGATTTTTAGCCACCAGTTTTAGTAACACTGGGAAAATCCCTTATTATGTATGTGCTGCTCTGGTGAAACACACCTGCACTAGGATTTACACTGGTGGTGTTGCATTGATGTCACTATACCCACTGTAGGTTTAAGTTAAACAGACACCAGGCATTTCTCTGTGGATGCTTATTAGTTTGTAAAGCCCGTAAAATGCTCTGGATGTTGTATTTCTATATGTACATTTTGAAAATGCCTCCTGCTTTTGGTCTGTTCGACAAAGTATATTAAGTACGTTAGTTGCCCCATTACAACTAATGGGGACTCTTCACATACTTTAGAATCTTGCTGACCTTAGAATACACACTCATTTGGTCAACCTCCATTAAATTAATATTGTTAGATATCAAATTACTAAGAGTAGACATTCATGTTATGAATGTGCATCTTTGCCATAAGTGATCATGCTGTTTGAATTCAGAAATGAGACCAGGCTGGTAGCAAATGAAAATAGAAGATGTATGCAGCATAAACTGGATTTGTGCTAACAGGTCACAGAAAAAATTGTTGGGGAGTACAGAAGGACAGCTTCATTTTCTGACAAACACTTACCACTCTGGGTGTCTGTCAATTTTTTTTCTTGACTAAAAAGTGTATTTACTTTGGGTGAGAATAGAAATGGTAGTAGCGCCATCTGCAGACAGTCTCTCTCCTTAGTATATTCCATTGGAAAGAAATTAATGTGAAATGCTGTTTATAAAAAAAATGCTTGGTTATAAAAGGTTTATTTTGACCGAATCATCTGCCTGATTCTCATGGGACTTGAGCAATAAAGGCTTTGCATTAAGAAGACACAACACAGGAGGCCCCCATCTTGCGACTGCCCGAGTTCTAACCCTCCCACACTTACAACCATTTTTGTAAGTGCAGAAGGGGCCAGAAACTCCCGACTTATGTTCTCAGACTTCATTTACGATGGCGCACGGCGCCTATTGTAAATGAGGGTTTGAGTTACGACATCTCCGACTTTGCGACACTTCCTGTGGAACCAGTCACGTCTCATGTAGGTAGCCTCCTGTAACAAATACCACTTTTCCTTTAAAATGTGTAATCAGCAATTATGCCAGATAACTAAACTCTGCTGCAATGAAACCTTTTCAGCAGGCATGGAAGCCTGTGTAATGCTCACTAAAAGTGAATAATGATTATGCATAGCAGCAACAGGTGAAGAACTTTATGCTTTCTCGTCTGCACTCATATTCCTGGAAACCATTGTAATAATTCTTCAGGCTCAGAGTACAGTGTATTTTAACCTGTTTCCTTCAGCATGTAAATTTTATTGTCCATGACTAAAAACCTAACTGTGGGCAGGTGCACACTCAGAGACATGCATTGGATGGGAGCCAAATAATTGGTGGGAACACAGAATTCCTCACACCCGGGGCCATAGCTCCAAAATCGTACCCCTCTGAAAGAAGCCAATTTTTTATTCCTGTGCATGCCTGACTACAAACACCACTTTGGTGCAGCCACGCTCCTATACTGCTTTGATAAAAATACTCTAAAGCCAATGGGAGAGAGCTCTCTTGTCAGCTTAATTACTCCACCTCCAGGAGGAGCTCTACCACCAACATAGCATTGCCACACAGAGGGTTATGGTTGGTGTAACTGCATCACTGAGGAGTGCAAAAATCCACACATGTTGAACTGAAGTAAGTGTACACTGTAGATCTGGCCTAAGACATGAAATGTGATTTTGCATTCTCTGAACTAAAATTGCATAGGGCTCTTTAACCTGTACCTGTGGAGGTGACACATACCCGATGCAGAATGCAAAGCAAAATCGGCACAGTTTAAGGTCCAATTTTGAAAGCTTAAGAGAACGTGGAGAGGGCACAGCCCTTATGCTGGACCCCTGCTCAGGTGAATTTTACCCTGTAAGAGATTCGAATGATGTATTGTACTACAGGCTAAGAGCTTCAGGCAGCTTGCACTGCTAACATTCATGATGAAATAGGGTACTTAATGTTGGTAAAATACCAACTTGGTGTACATAATTGAATATTTTAAATAGAAAGGCGGGGTAAAAATATTTCAATAACTAAATAAAAATAAAATAGTTTTCATTGGGTTTGACATAAGAACCTTTTTTGTTCAGTTTCTGTATAAGTTTCTGGGAACATGTACTCAGATCTAATTTAGTTCTGAATAAGATGTTTTTGGTAATACACTAGTCACAGTGGGATTCAAATCCCAGTTGAGACTTGATTTGTTTTAACACTTAAAGGTTAAATAATTGCATATCAGTTTCCTTATTACTGAGGGTGTGATGGTTCAGTTCTTCAGCAGTTTTCATGCTATTTCATAGTATGAGTAACATATTCAATAATGGGAAGTCAGAGGGCAAACAATACTATCCAAATAGGAAAATAGTTTTAATCAAGATATCTTTCTGGTTTGTTTACATTGCTATTGCATTAAATAACTAATATTGACCAAACAACAAGTAGTCTTTACTGACTTTGATCTTTATCTACTCAGGTTTAGCACCCTTTCTCCTGATACTTTATGCATAGAGGTAGGGGGGTGGCGACAGAACATCTTTCTCTCTCCTCCCCCTCCTGCCCCTTTCTCCTATTTATTTTGAGTTTCCTTATCCCCTAATCATAACTCCGGTCATCTGAAGAAGTGGGCTGGGCCCACGAAAGCTCATGGTACCACCTACATGTTTTCTTAGTCTATAAAGTGCTTCCAGACCATTTGCTTGCTGTTTTTAACTAATAGTATGGGTAGTACTTTGTAGACTAACAAAACATGTAGATGGTGGTATGAGCTTTCGGGGGAAAGGAGTGTTGGATATCTAGGACCAAAATAAATAGGGGAGACAGGAAGTGGGGAGGAAGAAGGGAAAATTGGGAAAGGGGGAGCAAGAAAAGGCAGTAGGTAAAAAATATATCAAGGGAAAGCCTAGCTGGAAAGCAACAGGGAAAACAAATAGTCTAATAAGCACCTAAAGATTAGATAGTCAAAGGAAGCAGATAAGAACCATTAATTAGCAAACAACAAAGAGTCAGGAAACACTTAAAGACTGATGAAACATTTAGATGGTATGAGATTCTTCAAAAACAAAGAACCATTGTGGCTTTCATTGTTTGATAGGTAAGTAATGACTAACCATCCAGTATCTTTGTTTAATCCAGAGGTGTGAGAATTGAACTTGTGAATGAGCTGAAGTTCCAGTCCTTCCAAGTGTACCTAGTTCCTGTAATTGGTTTGTAACAAAACAGCCACTTGAAGATCTGTTAATGCATGCCCAGGGAGATTAAAGTGTGCCCCCACAGGCTTTTGGACTCATGATACCATCTACATGTTTTGTTAGTCTACAAAGTGCTACCAGACTATTTGTTGTTTTTTCAGTTTACCTATATAGACTAACTCAGCTACCCCTTGAAGCTTCTAATATTGACCAGTCTGGCTTCTCTTTATGATTGGCCTCTTCCCACATACCAGGTAACATTAAGAATGATTAAGCAACAAAGAACATTGTGAAAATATTCTCCTGTGCCCACAAAACCATAATGTGTTGCTTTTTAAAATTCAAATTATAACTGCACCATGAGCCACTCCTGCTTTTCTGAATCTGTTAGCACGCCTTTTAAGGAGCTTATACTTGTTCCTTATGCTTATACTTGTGTATAAACATATAATACAATGTCAGATGTAAGAGGCACACTACACTATAAATTGCACAATTAAAATATAAAAAGATAATGGAAATACTGAAGTTCCTATAACAGTAACTGTGCCACATTCTGTAGTTACTTAAAAGAGAAATGACTCTCTAAAATCAGTTAAATGGTCACAGGCAGGGAAATTACAACTCATCAAAGTGAATGGTAAGACAAAATTACACAGTGGTTTTTCTTCAAGGCTGTGTTAATGTGGTGCCAACACAAATGTTTGTTTTGTCCCATTTGTTGTAACCATCCTAGGACTGCCCATTACAATTTGTGTTGTTTTATTTTAATTATGTAATGGGGGGATAGGTTAATGGTTCTGTAGTTTCAAAACAGCTTATGGTTTAAACAAGAAGCCACATTATGTCACAGTGGAAGTATAATCCATGTTCCAGCTGGAGACCCCGAGACATCTGCAACACTATGCAGCTAGTATTTTAAGAGAGAAAAATTGAAGCAGTAGGATCTAAAGTAGATATCTCTGCAGTTTCCACTCCTTTGATGGTCTCCAATCCCTGTCAGGTATGGGTTTGGGGGACATTGTGCTGTGTGTTTCACTGGGGAATTTACAGTCTCCCTTATGTATATTGTTTCAGCCAGAGCAGCTACTGTTGTACAGGGTTACTGTGCTTCGATGTCATAAGCACTGTAGGGAGACTGCTGGACTCTATTAGGAGAGAATTTTAAGAAGGATTAGACAAAAAATACAGATGTTTTTTCCTAGTGTAAAAATGAAGGCATTAAAGTTGGCCTAAATGTGCATTTTTCCACAGTATTTGGTTTGACTCCCATCCCTTTGTGCTTTGTAGGTTGGAAGTCGTAGGGTTATTCAGTATGGTGCAGCATTCATGCTCTTACTTGGAATGGTTGGGAAGTTCAGTGCACTGTTTGCATCCCTGCCTGACCCAGTGCTTGGAGCACTCTTCTGCACCCTCTTTGGTACGTGTCTGTGTCTCTGCTTTTCTTCATATGCTACTTGACTACCTTACGGCCTTTGACCTCGGTGATGTGCATCTGTGGATGTTAGCTAACTTTCACAAAATTATTGAACCAAAAAGAGAGATTCTAAAAGTTGACATTCTTGATTGTTTTTTGTTTAGGAATGATTACAGCTGTGGGTCTGTCCAACCTCCAGTTCATAGATTTAAACTCTTCTCGTAACCTGTTTGTACTTGGATTTTCCATTTTCTTTGGACTTGTCCTTCCAAGTTACCTCAAACAAAATCCACTTGTTACAGGTACGAACTTATCATTCATTCATGTGAAATGCATCATTTCTTTGTACTGTTCATACAGATCTATCCCAAAATGCTGTAGATAAGAATAGCCCTATTGGGTCAGACTAGTGGTCCATCTAGCCCAGAGGTCCATCCAGCCCAACTTTCGACAGTAGCCAATACCAGATGCCCCAGAGGGAGTGAACAGAACAAGGAATCTTCAAGCAGTCCCTCTCCCGTCACCCATTCCCAGCCTCTGACAGTGTTTAGAGACTCCATTCCTACCCATCCTAGGTGATATGGGGAAAGCTGAAGTACTCAATGCTTTCCTTGCCTCTGTCTTCACGGACAAGGTCGGCTTCCAAACTAATGCGCTAAGTGACGCAAGATGGGATGAAGATGGACAGCCCTTGGTGGGTAAAGAACAGGTTAGGAACTATTTAGAAAAGCTAAACGTACACAAATCCATGGGTCCAGACTTAATGCATCCGAGGGTACTTAGGGAGTTGGCAAATGCCATTGAAGAGCCTTTGGCCATTATCTTTGAAAAGTCGTGGAGATTGGGAGAAATCCCGGATGATTGGAAAAAGGCAAATGTAGTGCCCATCTTCAAAAAAGGGAAGAAGGACGATCCAGGGAACTATAGGCCGGTCAGTCTTACCTCGGTTCCTGGAAAAATCATGGAAAGGATCCTTAAGGAATCCATTTTGAGGCAGTTGGAAGAGGAGAAAGTGATTAGGAATAGTCAGCATGGATTCACAAAGGGCAAGTCGTGCCTCACCAATCTGATTAGCTTCTATGATGAGGTAACTGGCTCGGTGGACATGGGAAAGTCAGTGGATGTGATAGACCTTGACTTTAGCAAGGCTTTTGATACAGTCTCCCACAGTATTCTTGCCAGCGAGTTAAGGGAGTGTGGATTGGATAAATGGACGGTAAAATGGATAGAAGGCCGGGCCCAGCGGGCACTGATCAACAGCTTGATGTCAGGATGGCGGTTGTTTTTTACCAGAGTGCCCCAAGGTTCGGTTCTAGGGCCGGTTTTGTTCAATATTTTTATTAATGAGCTGGATGAGGGGATGGATTGCACCCTCAGCAAGTTTGCGGATGACACTAAGCTAGGGGGAGAGGTAGATACGCTTGAGGGCAGAGATAGGGTCCAGAGTGACTTAGACAAATTGGAGGATTGGGCCACAAGAAATCTGATGAGGTTCAACAAGGACAAATGTAGAGTCCTGCACTTGGGACGGAAGAATCCCAAGCATTGTTACAGGCTGGGGACCAACCAGTTAAGTAGCAGTTCTGCAGAAAAGGACCTGGGGGTTACAGTGGATGAGAAGCTGGATATGAGCCAACAGCATGCCCTTGTAGCCTAAAGGCTAATGGCATATTAGGTTGCAATAGGAAGAGCATTGCCAACAGATCCATAGATGTCATTATTCCCCTTTATTCGGCTCTTGAGGCCACATCTGGAGTATTGTGTCCAGTTCTGGGCCCCCCCACCACAAAAAGGTTGTGGACGCATTGGAGAGGGTCCAGCGGAGGGCAACCAAAATGATTAGGGGCCTGGAGCATATGACCTACAAGGAGAGGCTGAGGGAGTTGGGTCTGTTTAGTCTGCAGAAGCGAAGAGTGAGGGGGGGTTTGATAGCAGCCTTCAGCTTCCTGAAGGGAGGTTCCAAAGAGTCTGGAGAAAGGCTGTTCCCAGTAGTGATGGATGGCAGAATGAGGAACAATGGTCTCAAGTTACAGTGGGGGACGTCTAGGTTGGATATTAGGAAAAACTATTTTACTAGGAGGGTGGTGAAGCACTGGAATGGGTTACCTAGGGAGATGATGAAATTTCCATCCCTAGAGATTTTTGTCCCAGCTTTACAGAGCCCTGACCGGAATGATTTAATTGGGAGTGGTCCTGCTTTTAGCAGGTAGTTGGACTCGATGACCTCTTGAGGTTTCTTCCAACCTTATGATTCTATGATTCGATCCTGCCAACAGATGAAATGCAGGTACAGTAGCTAGGTCGGTGGGAGAGCGTCTCCTACTGACCTAGGGCTTTCGCACATCAGCACTTATGACAGCAAAACTTACGATGCTCAGGGGCAGAGAGCGACTGGTGCTGTGGGGAGGAAGAGTGCAGGCAAGGCCACCCAGAGCGGCAGTGAGAGTTCAGGGCACCCCATTTAGCAATTAACATTTTGACAGGAGCGCATCGGGGTGTTCTCCCCACCCCGAATGACAAAAGTTTTGCCAACAGAGGTGCTAGTGTAGACTTGGCCTAAGTTAAGAAATAAGTGCAAAAGTCATAAGAAATAAACTTAGAAATGCAGAAAGAATTCAGCTGAGTTGTGTCATTTTAAAAGATAAGTGATTTAAGGGAAAAAAGTGAGGCATTAAAAGGAAGTTTTCACAAATTAACGCTTCAGGATTGGAGAGAATTAAACAGTTGGAGTTGTGGAAATGTTAAAGAAGAAGTGTTAAAGAAAGCAATACATTAAAAAGTTAAAGAAGAAAATTCCTAGTTTGATGATAATTGTGGTTGTGGCAGTATCATTTGGTGCAGTTATATCCAGTGAAAACCGTACTAATTAAAAAAATGCAAAGGTAGGGGGAGTCAGGTGGTGATAACTACCATCACTGTATGCTTTTTCCTCCCTGGAAGTCTTTACACTACAGCCATTCTGAAGGAAATGGGCCTTTCCAATAAATGTGTCTACAAACAATTAATTTTGCTAGGTACTTTTTTTTAAAGGATGGCATTAAGTCAATGTGTTATAATACTTTCATATGTAGTATGTGGGTGTTACCTGTAATAACAGATAAGTGTGGTCTTAGATGATATGAAGCAAGTAAGTTTGCAGTCTTTTATCACCACAGAAAAGTTTTAAAAAAAAGTAAAAGAGAGGTAATACCAGCTGAGGCAGAATAAGAAAATTAACAAGGATCCAATACCACAAAGTTAAATGTAAAACCACTTGAAACCCATACAGTGTGGAAAAAGTTTGTTTTCCCAGTATAATGCATCGACTGGAAATTCCCAAACTTGTACTGCTCTTGGCATGTGGGGGACACTTACACATGCTGGTGTATTAGAAGTTGCTGGCATATGGGTTCACTCTGAGGGAACAGTCTCCTAATTGCACGGTACAGATTAAAGTAAAATAAAAACTGCCTATGCTGGGTAATAGCAAATATGCTGTGGTTGAAAAGACCACTATAGCCAGGGAATGTTATTTTAAGTGGCCTGTGTTCTGCTTCACATCTACAATTCCTGAGGTAATAAATGGAAATATTTTTATATTTATACCGGTTTTTATAATGTAATTAAAATAAAAGCAAAATTAACATTACAG